CCTCACCTTACCTCTCGCCACCCATCTCGGGTCCCGTCCACTTCCCCTCACGCCCCCCATCACGGACCCCGCCCCACTTCACCCGTCGCTTCCCATCCCAGCGCCGCCCGCCTGGATACTTCATAAACAGCGCGCGTCTCCCGGAGAGGAGAGGAGAGGAGAGGAGAGGAGCGGAGCGAGGCGGGACGGAGTGGAGCGGAGCGGCGCTGTGTCTCGCGGTGGGATGCATAAATCACGAGCGCCTCGCGGCGCCTTCCCCGAACAACGCGCCTTCTCCAGAACGGACTCCGCGACTTCCTTCCAGTCCCTTGCTCCGACGCCCGCTTTGTAAATCCGCCGCGGGAAATGTTTTCGTAAACCGGGATGCGAAGGGCCTGAGGACGGTTGAGAGACTGGAGCAGACCCGCCACGCGATTGCTTCAACAACGCGCGTTGCTTCTTACATCTACAAGTAGATAGATACTAAATGTCACTAATAGACATTTTAAATTACTTGTTCCTGTAATATTTGACATGTAAATTTGTTTAATTGTCATTTTCGCAATGTAATGATTTTTGTTTTATTGCGTCTATGTCAAGTTTTTTACAAAATAATAATTAATTTTACATCTGCATATTTAAAATTGTTCATTTTAATTATATTTTCGTAATCTATTTTGAGTTATTTACTTCAGGGTTCAAACACTGACGTGGTGAAGAGAGATCGTCTGAGTCATCTTAACAGTACAATATCGTTACAACATATGCGCTGAATGAATAATTGAGTCAATAATAGAGGTAATCATTGTAACATATAAATAACCTACCTTCATTGACGATTACTTGTAAAATATTTGAAAACTTATATTTATTATTTTCTTTAAAATCTTAACTCATTTAAACAATAAATACAAAGAAAAACATATCACTCACGACACGCTTTCAATAAACTTAAACATGTTTATGTTTTTTCTTGTTTTGAATGTGATTTTGAATAAAGTTTTACTCTGTAAGAAAATGTAGCTGTATATTCCCCACTGTAGAATTTGAATTTTCTAAACAAATAAACTACTTGTCACATTTAAACTTCTGCCGCAGAAAGTGTAATAAACTTAAGCAGATACAAGTGGCTCTGTCTTCTTTCCGAGCAAAGCTGCTTCCTGTTGCGTAAACTTGGTCCACGGGCACATCGCGCCTCCCGCTGTCTCAAGTGTGTATTCTTCATAAGCTTCCGCCGCTGTGGCAGCGCCCCATGCATAACTCAGAAGCTTCCATATTTCCACCACCGCCCACCACTGTCACCTCGCTAAGCAACGCATGCAGCAACAGCAAACCCCGCGAACGTTGGTGTGACGTTACTCCTCATAAATGCTCTTCGATCGCAATAACTGAATTCGTTAACCTCAACAACGTTGTTAGACGCAAAAGCCAAACCTCACTTTGTATTATCAATACTGTCTAGTAGTTACTCTTTCGAAATCACCCTGTCTTCACAAAGTGTAACAGCGCTGCTCCAACTAACATATTGAAAGCTTCCAACCGTCTATGAATAATGACAGAACAATTTTTTAAATCGCGCTAACATCCCGTAGCCGCAAAACACAAATATATCACTATATCAATATATTCACTCACCCCACCAGATCACAATGCATCGTGCCTTTCTTCGGTGCATCAAATCATTCAGTATATAATTATTTTCAGAAGTGATTTGGGTACAAATTTAATTCCTGTGATATTTATTAAAAATTATAACAATCGTTATATAATTATAAAAATCGTTAACTATATCTCACGAATCGTAAAACAATTCAGAGTTTGGAATGTTCGAGAAGTCGAAAGATGCCACGCCTACTAGCGGTGACCACCACGCCAACCTGGCACGCCCTTAGAACAACGCCGTCACCAAAACCTCGTCTCCACGTGCTCCGCCACCAGCCGCCACGGACGCAAGTCGAAAAAAACCCGCCCGGGCCACACGCTGGCAGGCCGGGGCGCCGCGCCGCTCCACGCCGCGCGCCTCCTTACCGGCCTCTCTCTTTACTTACGTCACGCCACGAAAGTAACAAATCGGCCACTTTAGAAACGCGCTCCTCCTTTTTTGTCCCCTCCGCCTCTTCCCTCCCCAGGCGACGGCGAGGAAACAGAAAATGTTTTCCTTTCTCCCAAAGTCCTCTCGGAAGTCGACTGCTAAGTCGAAGAGGACCGCAAGTTC